GCCCTCGAGCGGCCGCCATGCTTCCCGGCCCGCCACTTCCGCCGCGCAGAGGCGTTGCATCCGGGCAGCCCCGTTGGGGCTTCGGCGAGGCCCGCACGCTGGGGCCGGCGGGTCTGGGTGTGGTCCCGGCCGTAGAAGCCGCTGCTGCCATAAGTCGGGTGGGGTAGAGACGTTCGCCACGGCTTCAATGCGTGGGCCTGGCCAGGGGGCACCCGCAGCGGAGGCCTCCGGTGTCCCGGGGCCCTCAGCTCACCCGCCGGCCCGGGCCGCACGGCCCGCAGGGCCCAGGGCGAGCTCGCCGCCCGCTCTGCCGGACCAGAACTCAAAGGTTCTTTTAAAAATAAGTGGCGGGCGCGGTGGCTCACGCCTGTAATCCCAGCACTTTGGGAGGCCGAGGCGGGCGGATCACGAGGTCAAGAGATCGAGACCATCCTGGCCAACACGGTGAAACCCCGTCTCTGCTAAAAATACAAAAATTAGCCGGGCGTGGTGGTGGCGCGTGCCTGTAGTCCCATCTACTTAGGAGGCTGACGCAGGATAATTGCTTGAACCCAGGAGGCGGAGGTTGCAGTGAGCCGAGATCGAGCCACTGCACTCCAGCCTGGACAGCAGAGCAAGACTCGGTCTCAAAAAAATAAAATAAAATAAAAATAAGTGCCGGGTGCGGTGGCTCACGCCTGTAATCTCAGCACTTCTGGGAGGCCAAGATGGGTGAATCACTTGAGGTCACGAGTTCATGACCAGCCTGGCCAACATGGTGAGACCCCGTCTCTACTAGGAATACAAAAAAATTAGCCGGGTGTGGTGGTATGTGCCTGTGGTCCCAGCTACTCGGGAGGCTGAGGCAGAAGAATCCCTGGAACCCAGGAGGCGGAGGCTGCAGTGAGCCGAGATTGAGCCTCTGCACCCCAGCCTGGTGACAGAGCAAGACTGTGTCTCAAAATAAATACGTGAAAATGAAAAGGCCACGCACGGTGGCTCACGCCTGTAATCCCAGCACTTTTGGAGACCGAGGCAGGCGGATCACCTAAGGTCAGGAATTCAAGACCAGCCTGCCCAACATGGCAAAACCCTGTATCTAATAAAAATACAAAAATTAGCTGGGTGTGGTGGCAGGCGCCTGTAATCCCAGCTACTAGGGAGGCTGAGGCACAAGAATCGCTTGAACCTGAGCATTGCACTCCAACCTGGGCAACAGAGCGAGACCCCGTTACAAAAAAATAATAAAATATAATACATAAATATTTTCTAAAAACTCACACATCTGATGTAAGATTAAAGGAAGGTTTTTGGATGAAATTATGGAGGTTAGATGAGAAGTCGATTCCTCAAAGGGAAGATCTCTAATTTTTTTAAATTTTGAGATGGAGTCTCGCTCTGTCACCCAGGCTGAAGTGCAATGCCTAGGTACAAGCGATTCTCCTGCCTCAGCCTCCCGAGTAGCTGGGATTATAGGCGCCCACCACCATGCCCGGCGAATTTTTAAAATATTTTTAGTAGAGACAAGAGTTTCACTATGTTGGTCAGGCTGGTTTTGAACTCCTGACCTGATGATTCACCCACCTCGGCCTCCCAAAATGCTGGGATTACTGACGTAAGACACCACGCCCAGCCTTTTATTTATTTTGAGACAGTCTCTGTTGCCCAGCATGTAGTGCAGTGGAATAATCATAGCTCACTGAAGCCTCAGCCTCCCAGGCACAACCATATGTGGCTAATTCTTAAATTTTTTGTAGAGCCAGGGTCTCACTTTGTTGCCCAGGCTGGTGTCAAACTCCTGGACGTAAACGATCCTCCTGCTTCAGTCTTCCAAAGCACTGGGACTACAGGCATGAGCCACTGTGCCCAGCCTTCCTAACCTGTACCGGTCTGCATTATGTAGGGTAATCATGCACTGTCCCCAAATGTCCCTGTGGCAGCCAGGGCAGTCAGCTGCTGCAGTCGCATGCTGAGAAATCCTCCAGGGCCCTGCTCTCAGCAGACACGGAAATCAGAATCACTTGTGCATTCCCCACAAGGCTGGCTTTATGTTCTCTGGGCCTGGAAGCCAAGGGAGCTGCAGAGGGAAAACTGATCACCACGTGCTGTCGGCCTGGTCTCAGGCTGCCGGAGCTTCCCTCACCCTCCAGCAGAGGTCCCCCTAGTGAGACTCAGCCCCGCTCCCTGTTCCTGCAGGACTTGGCCTGCCTCCCGGGTTTGCAGTTGTGATTTATTTTTGGTACGTCAGCTTCTGGTCATCAAATAGCAAAACCCAAAACGGGGCAGCACGGTATCTTCCAAGTGTCTGCTCAGGACACGGCTTCAGCCCTCGGTGGTCCCTTCTCCCCAGGGGCCCTGAGGCCTTTGGGATTCTTGTCAAGCTCCTTCAAGGGCCTGCAAGGACTTAACGGTGAGTAGCTAGGCCAGTGATGGACAAAGGTCAGGTGACAGGCAGGGAATGGAGAGGCCTGGGGGTGGAGAAGATAGAAAGCCCCACATCTGTTCCATCCGTTTCTCCTTTCTGAAGGCCGATAGACCCAGGAGAGTGGCAGCACTGGCCCCTGAAACCCCCATCTGGGGGACTTTCCTACAGAAAAGAGGTCCCTGGGGCTGATCTGGTTTTTGGACTTTCAGAGTTCAGGGGAGGGAAGTTACAAAAAAGGACCAAGCCAGCCGGGTGTGGGAGGGCGAGGCGGGAGGGTCACTTAAAGTCAGGAGCTCAAGACCAGCCTGGCCAACATGGTGAAACCCCACCTCTACTAAAAATACAAACATTAGCTGGGTATGGTGGCTCGTGCCTGTAGTCCCAGCTATGCAGGAGAGTGAAGCAGGAGAATGACTTGAACCTGGGAGGTGGAGGTTGCAGTGAGCTGAGATCTCACCACTGCACTCCGGCCTGGGCCACCTACTACCATATGGGGACCCTGTCCACAGGGGTCTCGGGAAAGGTGTGAGGGGTGAGTGGGGCAGTAGACAGAGGCACAAAATTGGCCCCAGTCAGAGCTGGGGGATGGGGCAAGATAACCACTTCCTCAGCCCCTCAAGAAAGGTGAGTGCAGCCACAACTTGGCCAAGCTGGCTGTGCTGGCCTAGGGTGCCATCTCACAGGGGGTCCAGATGTACTTTCTGCTCATGGAGGCTTGGGGAGGAGGAGAGAGCTGGCACTACCCAGATTTGGGAGGTAATGAGGCACAGATGCCCATTGTGAGGACTCAGAAGGACTTGCCAGCAAATGAGCTTGTTTTTATGGGAAACAGACACTCCTGGGCTCCATCAGGTTGCTGATGGGACAGGCAGAGAAGGCCTGTGTGTGAGGCAGCCCAGATGCCTGGCACTGGGAGAGGGGACTTGTTATTCTAAACCTTCCTCTGGTAACCAGGCACCCAGTAGTGGGGCCACCAGGATTCCTGGAACAGCCCGCCTAATCCTGGAGGCAGCCAGTGCTGCTGCTTGGCTGATCAGCAAACTGGCTCCTTTGAGAGGCCAGGCCTCCTTAGGCCCAGAAGCAGTGGGGGAAAGGGGGCTGGAGGGAGTTTTCTTTGGCTTTGCTGACTGGCAGGTTGGGCCTGTTTTCTACCTGCCCTTTTCCCTGTTGGTAGATGATTTTCCGCATTCCCCAAATCCTGCATCTGATTTTGTTTTGCTTTTTTTGAGTCTCACTCTCTCACCCAGGCTGGAGTGCACTGGTGCAATCTCAGTTCACTGCAACCTCCACCTCATGGGTTCAAGCGATCCTCCTGCCTCAGCTTCCCAAGTAGCTAGGACCACAGGTCCAAGAGCCATCATGCCTGGCTAATTTTTCTATTTTTTGTTGAGATGGGGTTTCTCTTTGTAGCCCAGGCTGGTCTCGAACTCCTGACCTCAAGTGATCTGCCCACCTCAGCTTCCCAAAGTGCTGGGATGACAGGTGTGAGCCACCACGCCAGGCCCAAATCCTACATCCAAAGCAGCAGTTGAGTTCCCTGGTAGGAGCTTCCATGTTCCCGAAGCAAGGTGGGGTAGCCAGTGCCTCTGTGTCCAAGCCGGAGTGTCCTGGCTCCACACCACAGCAGGCCCACTCAGGGCTCACTGGCCATTGTTAGGTAGGACATGGGGCATTCTGCTGGCAGGACCCCGAGCCAAAGGGTACCTGCCCAACCATGGACTCACATTCAAAAAATAGCACCAGCTGGACACCTGCACTGGACACGGGGAGCAGAGATGGCTAGGACATCCTAGAGATGACCATCTAGATGACACACACTGACAAGTGACACCAGAGGCAGGGACCAGGACAGACCCACCCAGCTCTCCATCCCTTAGAGCACCCAGCATGGTGGTTGGCAAAGAGTGGGTGTTAGTGTCTGCAGAATGAAGACGGAATGAATGAGTGATTATCAAAGTCCCAGTTATGGACAGAATACATGAGAAAGGGCCGGGTGCAGTGGCTCACGCCTGTATTCCCAGCACTTTGGGAGGCCAAGGTGGGTGGATCATTTGAGGTCAGGAATTTGAGGCCAGCCTGGCCAACGTGTTGAAATGCCATCTCCGCTAAAAATACAAAAATTAGCCCGGCATGGTTGTGTGTGCCTGTAGTCCCAGCTACCTGGGAGGCTGAGGCAGGAGAATTGCTTGCTTGAACCCGGGAGGCGGAGGTTGTAGTGAGCCAAGATCACTCCAGCCTGGAAATTGTGGCCATGTGTAGCGGTGGTTCACGCCTATAATCCCAGCTCTTTAGGAGGCTGAGGCGGGAAAATTGCTTGAGGCCAGGAGTTTGAGACCAGCCTGGGCAATATAAGGAGACCCTGTCTCTACAAAAATCTTAAATATTAGGGCCAGGCATGGTGACTCACATCTGTAATCTCAACACTTTGGGAAACTGAGGCGGGCAGATCACCTGCGGTCAGGAGTTCAAGACCAGCCTGGTCAACAAGGTGAAACCTTGTCTCTACTAAAAATATAAAAAATTAGCCGGGTGTGGTGGCAGTTGCCTGTAATTCCAGCTACTCGAGACGCTGAAGCAGGACAATCACTTGAACCTGGGAGGCAGAGGTTGCAGTGAGCTGAGAGCCGAGATCACACCACTGCACTCCAACCTGGGTGATAGAGAAAGACTCTGTCTCTGGAAGAAAAAAAAAAAAAAAAAAAAAAAAATTTAGCTGAGTGTGTGCTGCACAACTTTCGTGCCAGTTACTCAGGAGGGTAGGGTGAGGGGATCACTTGAGCCCAAGAGGTTGTGGCTGCAGTGAGCTATGATCATACCACTGCACTCCAGCCTGGGTAACAGAGTGAGACCCCATCTCTACAAAGAAGTTTGTTTGAGCTGGAGTCTCGTGTCTCCCAGGCTGGAGTACAGTGGGACAATCTCAGCTCACTGTAACCTCCGCCTCCCAGGTTCAAGCGATTCTCCTGCCTCAGCCTCCTGAGTAGCTGGGACTACAACCATGTGCCACCATGCCCAGCTAATCTTTGTATTTCTAGCAGAGACAGGGTTTCATCATGTTAGCCAGGCTGGTCTCGAACTCCTGGCCTCAAATGATCTGTCTGCCTCAGCCTCCTAAAGTGCTGAGATTACAGGTGTGAGCCACCGCACCGGACCTCAATTCAGAAACGTTTATTTGGAACATTCACTGTAGGCCAGTCTGGTGCCAGGAGATGTAAGAAACAGTTCCAGGAGTGAGAAACAGTTCCAGGCCCCAAGGAGAACACCCCCTGGGTCAGGAGCGCTGACAGCTTCTTTCTGCTCCCCTCTCAGAGGTGCCCAGAGTTCCCCCGCTGAGCATCTGAGCATGACCCGGGACGAGGCACTGCCGGACTCTCATTCTGCACAGGACTTCTATGAGAATTATGAGCCCAAAGAGATACTGGGCAGGTAAGGCCCACGCTCTCCCTATGAAGGGCTCTCCTAAACTCCAGCAGGCCCTGTGGGCTACAGCCACCTCTGCTCCACTGCAAGGACTGACCCCACTTGCATCCCCCAAGTGCTGTCCACTTGGAGAAACCCTTGGTTTGGGGTCCTGCCCTCCTGAAGCGAGGACAGATAAGAGAAACCCCTCCCAGCAAAAAGTTCCCAGGGGCAGGTACAGTGGCTCACGCCTGTAATCCCAGCATTTGGGGAGGCTGAGGTGGGAGGACTGCTTGAGGCCGGAAGTTCAAGGTCAGCCTAGGCAACATGGCAAAACCCCGTATCTTTTTTTTTTTTAGACAAGGTCTTGCCCTGTTGTCCAGGTTTGAGTACAGTGATATGATCTTGGCTGACTACAGTCTCTGCCTCCTAGGCTCAAGTGATCCTCCCACCTACGCCTCCCGAGTAGCTGGGACCACAGGTGTGTGCCACCACGTGTGGCTAACCATCTCTATTTAAAAAAAAGCAGCCAGGCACAGTGGCTCACACCTGTAATCCCAGCAGTTTGGGAGGCCAAGGCAGGAGGATTGTTTGCATCCAGGAATTCAGTATCAGCCTGGGCAACATAGTGAGACCTCGTCTCTACAAAAAAACAAAAATTAGCCAGATTTGGTGATGTGCACCTGCAGACCAGCTACTCGAGAGGCACAGGTGGGAGGATTGCTTGAGCCCTGGGGAGTTGAGGCTGCAGTGAGCCGTGATCATGTCATTGCACTCAGCCTGTGCAACAGAGAGAGACCCTAGAGACCCTATCACACACACACAAAGTTCTTAGGTGTTGTTAACAAGCACATCTAAACCCAGCTTTGACCAGAGTCAGGAATCAGGAATAGAGGGAAGATTACAGCACTGAGTGTAGGGCTTCTTTCTTTCTATATGTTGAGCAAGAGCACTGAACTAGGGCCGGGAATGGTGGCTCACACTTGTAATCCCAGCACTTTGGGAGGCCGAGGTGGGCAGATCACCTGAGGTCAGGAGTTTGAGACCAGCCTGGACAACATGTTGAAACACCATCTCTACTAAAAATATAAAAATTAGCAGCATATGATGGCGGGCACCTGTAGTCCCAGCTACTCGGGAGGCT